TACCTCTTCTTTGGGGCCGTTTAATTTTCCGGTTATTACTAGTTTAGGCATTCTGTTTGCTGCCATTCTTTCCACATGTCCCAACCATCTGATTCTTTGTGCCTTGACGAACTTGGTAATGGTAGGTTTTTATATAAAGCCATTAATTCATTGTTGGTTCTTCTCTCCCAACCATCTTCTGTCTTCCGTCCTCCGAATATGCATCTCAATATTTTTCTTTCCCATCTTTCCAGAGTATCCTCTTCCTTCTTATTTAATGTCCATGTCTCACCGGCATATGTTACTGTGGGTCGAATTACTGTTTTATATATTCTGAGTTTACCTTGTCTAGAAACGTATTTTGAGTTCAGTAGGGCTCTTAAACCACCTAATTTTTTATTCCCTTTTGCTATTCTGGCTACGAGCTCCAATTTCTCTTTTCCATTTTCATCGAAAACTACACCCAGGTATTCAAATTTGTCCACCCTTTTAAAACTATAGCTTTTACCACTTACTGACCTCACACTAAAGTCTTCTTTTTTCCCTTCTGTCCTTCCATGATCATATATTTGGTTTTGTCTTCATTTAGTTCCAATCCGAATTTCTGTGCTTCTTCGATGATTTTCTTCACAAATCTTCTTAATTCTTTCTCGTTTTTTGCTAGGATCGTTAGATCATCAGCAAATGCCAAGCACTGGTGCTCATTTTTCATGATCGTTTCTTCCATCTTCATGCTGCATTTTCTGATTTCACTTTCTTAAGTTGAATAATGTAGTGGATAAAGGATCTCCCTGTCTCAAGCCTTTGGCAACCGTAAATTGATCTGATATGTGACCCTGCTAAGCAATTTCATACGTAGAATTATTAAGTGTCATTTTAACTATGTAGTCGGATTAGTTTTTCTTTAGTATACCCAAATGTTCCATTGCTCGATACATTTTGACTCTATCGACTCTATCATATGCTTGTCTAAAATCCATAAACAAAACATGCAGGGGAACTTTACGTTCATAACAAGTCGTTTGTATCTCCTTTAATGAGAAGATTTGATCTACAGTAGATCTGTCCTTTCTAAAGCCGCCCTGATATTCGTGCAGGATTCTTCCGTGTAGCAATTTAGTTTATTTCTCAATATTTTTTGCTAAGATTTTGTATACCGTATATAATAAGGCTATACCTCTATAGTTGTCACACTTCAGTTTGTCTCCTTTTTTATGCAGAGGGTATTGTTCTCGGACGCGACTAGTTCACGTTCGAGACGCATCGCCCCGCCCCTTATTTTTCCCGTTGGCCCCTCCCTGACCTGGAAATCCCTAATCGCTACTTCAGAAAGTATAAAAATAGGCGATTTTCAGGTCAATCAAGTCAGTCCTTCACGGGCTCTCCGAGAGCTTAGTGCTCTCGGGGCTCTGCTTTCTTTTTAGCTTTTCCCATACTCTGTGGCTGAGATGTTATTCTACTGCAACCTGGTATTTTTATTTCGACTTTACCTTTGTCATGTAAGAAATATCTTGCCTTTTTCAAGGCAAGATACCAGAAGAAAACATTTACGAATCCATACCCCGCAAATGGATTCAAGTAGAGGGCTTTCGTCGACGTTTCCGAAGCCCTCTACAGAGCACACGGTGGTACAGAAGGTGATTGAGACCCTTTCCATTTACCCCGAGGTGACATGGCGCCCGACAACGTGGTTAAAATCCGCACCCACGACCCAGCTTGACTCACAGCAGAAGGCTACAACCATTGACTTCAACATGGGTTGAAGTCAAGAGAAGAACGGGGAGAACCACGGAGTGTTAGAATGCTATCTGACACTCCGACATCGAGGCCTTCTGCAGACCGGATGCCTTCGACGTGCAGGCGACTTTGACGAGCCAGCCTTCTTCGAAGTCAGAAGCCCCAGATGCCAACGGAAGTCCCGGAGCAGACCCAGTCATCGCCCCCCTACCGAAAGTGGTTGGACGACCACGTAGGCTTCGGCACCCTGGCACTCTGCGAAACCCCGTTGGATATGGCAGATGGGACCCGGACGACCGAGAAGAAGACGAACCCGTTGGAGGAGTCGACACACCGATCGAGAATGGAGCTGCAGGAGCCGGAGATGCCGTCAACGCCACCGACCTTCCTCGTTAGTGCAGTGTGTTGTGAGTTTCAAAGACAATTTGATTTTATGAACTTATTACTTTTTGCATTTTCATGTATTTTCTTTTCATGTATTCCACATGTATTTTGTATTTTTATTTGTATTTTATTTTTTATTGTAATTTTTTAATAATTCAATAAATTTCCTTCCCAGCCACAGAGTCTCCAGAGGAGGGGGGATGTTCTCGGACGCGACTAGTTCACGTTCGAGACGCATCGCCCCCGCCCCTTATTTTTCCCGTTGGCCCCTCCCTGACCTGGAAATCCCTAATCGCTACTTCAGAAAGTATAAAAATAGGCGATTTTCAGGTCAATGAAGTCAGTCCTTCACGGGCTCTCCGAGAGCTTAGTGCTCTCGGGGCAAGAAATATCTTGCCTTTTTCAAGGCAAGATACCAGAAGAAAACATTTACGAATCCATACCCCGCAAATGGATTCAAGTAGAGGGGCTTTCGTCGACGTTTCCGAAGCCCTCTACAGAGCACACGGTGGTACAGAAGGTGATTGAGACCCTTTCCATTTACCCCGAGGTGACAGTATATGCGGGCCTCATACCACTCCGATGGCATTACTTCCTTTTTCCATACTTGCACTAGTAGCTGATATATTTTTTCTTTGTAGTTGTTCTCCACCAAACTTGATATATAATAAAGCTATACCTCTATAGTTGTCACACTTCAGTTTGTCTCCTTTTTTATGCAGAGGGTATATGCGGGCCTCATACCACTCCGATGGCATTACTTCCTTTTTCCATACTTGCACTAGTAGCTGAATATATTTTTCTTTGTAGTTGTTCTCCACCAAACTTGATCATTTTATGCATATGTCATTTTTTACTTTTTACGATTTAATCGATTTCTGTGGCTTTATTGTCTTTGAGTTTTTAGGACGGCATTGGTACTTCTATCATATGTATATAATATATTATATAAATATATTGTATAAATATATATAATATGATATAATAATAATGTTCTTATGCTTCTTCTTCAAGTTCCACTCCTATCGGAGATTGGAAATCATTCTGACAATTATAATTTTGTTGGTTACGCGCCTGAATAGTTCAATTGAACTGCATCCAAACCATTCACGGAGATTGCGTAACCACGAGATTTTACGTCTTCCTCGCTTCTTCTGCTTTTGATTTTACCCTACATATATTCCTTAGTAGTTCGTATTTGTCACCTATCATGATGTGCCCCAAGTATTCCAATTTCCTGATTTTTATGGAATTTAAAACTCCGCATTGTTTTTCCTGGTTGTTCGAGAACTTGTTCGTTTGTTTTGCGATCCATCCTTGATATTTTCAAAATACGTCGGTAACACCACGTTTCAAATGCTTCTAGGTTTTTAATGTTGGATGTACATAAATTGTACATAACATTACACTTAAACAAGGACAAACAGTTTAAAATTATTTAAAAATTATTCTACGCTACATTCTTGTCGGCAACAGGAGAGAGTATGGTATTTAACGGAAATGTTAATGTGACATGTGACACATGACAGCTTTGATGGGCAGTCACAATCATGGAAATGTAATCTGCACATATTAAAATTCTGTGTAAGTAAGCTGGCATTGACCAAAGGTCCAACTGACACTACTCTAGAAAATCAGCTTATGAAATATGACACAGAATATTTTAATTTAACTAGATTGCATAATCCAGATCTCACACTTACACCTGTCTATAATAATGTTGATAGTTTGAGAGCAAATGAAGTGGACATAAAGTGTGAATGAAAGAAATAGACTAAACAATGTATTAAACAGTGGGTAGTTGACTACAATAAAATGGTCTACCAGGCATTATCAATACTGGAAAATAGAGAAGAAATCTGACTATGAAATTAAATTACTAAAAATTAAAACAAAATTGAAAGCAATGTATAAATGGGGTATAATTCAAGTAGTTTGGCGAATGGATTTAGTGTCCGCAGTCATTTAAACACAAACAAACAACAACAAACAACAAGTAGTTCAGGTAAACCCCCAGACAATAGGAGAACTATAAAACTAATATGTAAAAGCGTTGATTTAACCCTCGTTTAGAAATCGCACTCCTTTTATGTACCTCAGAGTGCGCCAGACTTGGCATAATTAGATACACACTGGTTCTCCAGTTAAAGTAGCCAATCAGGTGCTCTGGTTGGGAGAGTAGAGCAGATTTGTGTCGTGATTGGACACATAGAAACCACTTCCGGCAACAGTTCATCTACCTGGCAATTATAGTAACAAAATATAAAGCCGGCAAGAGACGGTTTCCCAATAGGGAGACGATCAGAGGAAACACCACGAAAAAGATGGAATAACAACTTAGTGGAGGCACACTGAAAAACAGACAGTCATATCTACATTAAAACAAGAAGCAGAAGAATATAACAGTGTCCGCTAGTAGCAACCCCTCTAATCTATGGTAGCAACGTCTATATGAAGTCAGGGGACTTCTCAATAGAGATGTAAGTAAACTACGAATCGAAGCTTACGTCATGTTTTTTCATATAGAGGTCATTACTGGCCTACAGTGGTATATTGTGTTAGAACAATACTTGCTAGGTAGATGAACGTTTCTTTTCAATTTTAAATTTTTACGATTAAGTTTTACGATTTAGAAAAAAGTTGGGTGAATACAAAAGCCTGTATACAAACATCGTACTTAGCATTCTATGTTGGAGTATTATCGGGCCCAGCAGATTTAGAAAGAAAAGAAGAAAATTTTAGAAAAAGCACTTTTAAGAATAAATATTGTAAAGATTCCTAGTTGGTTAAATCTTTTTACGACATTAAACATAAAATATACCTTTTACTTTTGTGCTTTGTGTAATTATAATAGAATTATATCAATACCATTTTTGTTTTTAAGCATAACTCCCCGGGAAATGAAAGTCACGCTTGGTCAAACAGATAGATGCCACCCGGACACTACTTCAGTGAATATGAGTGTTGACAGAATTATGATACATCCAGAGTACAATCCCGGATCAAGAGCTCACGATATAGCTCTCATCAGGTTAAATACACCTGCCAAGTTGGATAAAAGGATTTCACCTATTTGTCTACCTTCCGCAAGTAAGTAGATTAAAATGTAAACTAGACATGGGAATAGATAGGTACTTCAAGCTTAATTTAAAACGGTATTTATTTGAATGTACCAGGTGGTTCAATAAGGCGATCTCTCGGCTATATATCAGAAACTATTCATGTTATAACTTTAGGAGAAAAAATTTCTTAGTAAAAGTGGCTAAGAGAAATCGCTGGAAATAACTTTCAAGTTTCTGGGTTAATCGCTAGGGGGCGTAACCTGTGAAGAAAACTTTGAAAACCAGTTTTTTGTGAAATATGCCCAATTATACCAAGTGTTAAATAAGTAAACTAAAAAGAGGCCTTAATTCTTCACAAAGTTGTTCAACTACTTTTTTTTATTTTTTTAAATAAAGGGTGGGGGAGACTGGAGAAGTATTTGTGGATAAATACCTATAACTTTGGATTGGATTAACCGATTTTAACGAAATGAGTGTCATTAGAAAGAGTGTGGATGAATTAATTTACATATACTATAAAATAATTGCATTTAGTTTTAATTGTCATAGGTAGAGGGTACTTTCGAATAGAAAAAATTAAAATTTGTTTTTCTTCAAAATGTTTAATGGAAACACCTATTTATTGTAAACTATAATGAAACTGGATTAAATTCATAACAAAATGGCGCAAACCGCATCTTTTGTTGAACTCGAGATATGAATAAAAACGCATAAAATAAGTAAGTATAGTATTGACTCACCCTGTATTATAAATTAAATTAAAAAATAAGTCAGTAGGTACTTTCAAATTTTTTTAAAGCAAAAGAATCTTAATGTTGATACCTATTTTGACCATTGTTATTTTATATGATTAAAATTAGTTTTTTCGAAAGTGTTATATTATAATCCGAATTGAAGATTGCACTTTTTTCAACAGATATTAATATTGATAATATTAGTAATTAATTATAAGTACTAATAATCCGTGATGAGTATATCACGGATTATTCATATTTATATGTATATCACATATCATATAAATGCAGAATTGTATGATATGATTAGAGTTTATTTCGAATGTCACCAAAATGCCGCTATTGCCTCACGTATATATTTTGTAAGATATCCTGACAGGAGACATTATGGCAAATAAGTATTTGAAAGAAAGGTAAGAAGATTAAGAGAAACTAGTAGTTTCCATCGTCCTTGTTTTAAACGATGTAGTAGAGGTATGACCGAAGATAACTCAATCAATGTTCTTGCTTTAATTCAACAGAACCCACATATAAGTAGTCGGCAAATCTCTGTAGAATTAAACATATTCAAAACTACTGTTCTAAGGATCACAGGTTGGTTTTTCATATTATAAAAAGAACGTTTAGGTCAGAAACTTGGAATTCCCTTTAAACTTTAGATTTAACTGTTATTTTAATATTCCAATGAAAACGGCAATACGGCGCTTTTATCCTTTTATCCGTTTCTTAAAAATACTTATGCACGATTTATCTTGTGAAACAATTGTAGATTTTTCAATATTTTTGAGTTTTAGTAAATATAGTGGTTTCTTTTTCACCAATATTTGTTGTTCTGTTTTTTAGACTGCATCCTTATCATGTAGTTCTTCACCAAGCTTTACATGAGAGAGATTTTGATGCAAGGCTGGATTACTGTAATTGGATGTTAGGTCTGCTAGAAGAACAATCGCGTATCATGTCAAAGATTTTGTAAACAGATGAGGCTACGTTTAATAGTGCGGGTGGTGTTAATCTGCATAATATGCATTATTGGGCTAAAGAAAATCTACATTGAATACATGAGGTGCAGGTTCAAGGTAGATGGAGTCTTAATGTTTGGTGTGGTATAGTTGATGGAAAGATCGTATGTCCATATTTCTTTGATATAAATTTAAATGGCGAAAAATATTTGGATTTTCTGGAAAATCAGTTGCCTGTTTTATTGGAAGATATTTTCTTACAAACAAGAAGATATATGATATTACAACATGACGGGTGTCCTGTGCACTTTTCCAGACGAGTTCGAGAATATTTGTATGCAAGTTATCCAAATAAATGGATTGAAAGGGGAATCTCCAGACTTAACATATCTGGACTTTTATCTGTGGGATAAAAGGAAATGTTTGAAGGACTTAGTGTACCAAACTTAACAAACCACGCGAGTCGAGATGAAACAGCGTATTATAAACGAAATAAATAGTATATCAACAGCTGAGATTGAAGCAGCTGTTATGTCTACGCGCGAAAGATTATATCTTTGTGTGGACAATGATGGAAAACAATTTGAACATTTAATTGGACATTAAGTTTTAATGATCGAGATGTTTGTATGATCTTTCACATATTTAATTTTAAGTTATAATAAAGGGTGACTCAATGCTATACTTATTTATGTTTATGCGTCTTTATTCATATCTAGAGTTCTACAAAAGCTACCAACATACAGTTTGCGCCGTTTTGTTACGACTTTAATCCAGTTCCATTATAATTTACCACAAATAGGTGTATGGTGCATGGTTAGATCATTCGGAAAAATTTATACTTTACTTTAGCGATACTCCCAAATCGGTGGCAAATTAATGATACCCTAATAAGTTTATTACAGTAGTGTTTGTGAGATTGGAAAGAGTTTGTTTGTATATTAACAGCAAATATTTAATTTGTACGCTTATTAATATATTGAGTTAGATTGATTGAGACAATAGAAAAGTTTTGTGTGAAATAGTTAGTGTTGTTCAGAGATAAATTGAGATTTTTAGGAAACTATGATTAATTTTGTAAAATTGAAACGTGGATTTTTAATCCACGTTTCGTTTAAACTAAAGTATAAAATCCATAAAACACCGATACTAAGCGAAAGAGACATATTATTAGAGATAATATAGAGATATATAATTGCTAATTATTTCGTGGTTCTAGGTTCATATTTTTTGAGGTGACTGGAAAATCTTCGTAAGATACCAGGTCTGAATTCTGATATATGGGATTCCCTCACTGCCGCTGAGATGGTTGTCGGTCGAGCCCACCACATGTGACACGCTCAACCTCATTCTCAGCCGGAGCGAGAACCTACCCACTAAAACTCCTCCGTCCTCTCAACCACGCTTGTGATCCGCGAGTGCAGTCCGAGATTCGTTCTGGTGGTGGCATATCTTCAGTACTACATCCGCCTCACGTCTCGTTAAATATCGCTTCACCGCTGGACTTGTTTTTGTGACTACCTAACTAACAGTCTTTCTTCAGTCTCCTTGGACTGGAGCGGATGCATGGGTTCTTGCCCACGTGTCTTCATCCTCACACATCCTCGCAATCATATCACTCACAGAATCGAAACAAACATCATTCCTTCTCTTTTTACTCACTTATACCGAACGTCTTTACGTTTGGTATAAGTGACTTGGTCCAATGTGCCACATACACAGGTGCCCTTCATTCGGCTTGCCACATCTGTATAGATGTTGCTTTCTCTTCACGTTTTACAGTCTCAGTCACACCAGTATTACGAGCACGATGAAATAAATGGGTCCTCTCAAATGCCAAGATATGGAAAGGCATGCAGCCGGTGATGACCCACAACGCTGCTGCAGAAATAGTCCTATAGGCGCTTGCTACGCGTAACAGGCTTGTTTTGTATGTTTGTGTTCAAATTTAACTACATTCTACCTAACCTAACCCTTTCCTCTCCGAGAAGTTCATTGTTAAATATTATTTTTCAAATTAAATGTATTATTCTGATAGAAATAATTTTTTCATGCTTTTTCTCTTTAACTTTTTAGACTATCGCTATGTAAATCAAGTGGGTATTGTATATGGATGGTCCGATAATAGTAACATAACGTGCCGAGCTAAAAAGGTCGGACTACCGATTTTAAGCGCAGAAGAATGTCTAAAGGGATTTAATGATCCAGAATACATTACGAGTGATAAAGGCTGCTTAGGCGTACCTGGTTCAGTTTCTCCTGTATGCAAAGTAAGTATAAGAAGGAAAATATTTTATTCACAGAGAATATTACACTATTACATACATATTAAAGAAATTGAAAAAAAGAGGAGTTAAAATAATACCAATAAAAAACATTACATTCCAACAAATCTCCCTTTTTGTGCAATGGACATATCATTCTAGTGTACCATTCCTTTGGCATTTGTTCTTCTTTCCAGACTTTTCCATACCTTAGCCAAAGTATGGTAACTCTAACAGAATAGGGTTAAAGGGAAGAAGGTTTCATGGTTGAGGATCTGGAGACTCGCTTTCGCTCACCCCATTTCGGGTAGGATTTGTTAGTGTCATTGATGTCAACTAGGCCATTACCTGGTATTTAATGACAGAAGCAACTTGACATAGATACTGCCATCAAGACCCATTTACTAACCATTCGCAATCTTTCTTTTTTAACTGAGCTTGGGACCGACTACGGCGGAATCAAACATGAAGGATAGTAACCACTACTCAAACAACGTAGAACAGCTGTGCAATATATAGAAAAGACCAACTAACCTTCTATTAACAACACTTATTATGTAATGCCGAATCCAACCATTTAAGGCTAGATAGAGAAAACTTTTCTGCATTATGTGCGACCTGCCAGAAAACTACCCTCCACGGGTAGCTCGTTACTAAACTGAGGATCTTAATTAAAATTAGACAAGTGTATTGAAACAGAAGGACTTAAATATCACGTCACTGTATGAATTTTTAAAGTAATTTTAAATAATTTTATGGTTTTGTTCTTACAAGTATTACCTTCAAGCATAAAATTAATTTGAAATATTTTTAGGGTGACTCAGGTTCTCCGGTAATGTACAAATCAAAACACGGAAGCTACGATATAGTAGGTAAGCTTGCTTAATAATTTTGCTATTAAAACTAGAAAAATTATTGCGATAAATTAAGTTCTCAAAGTAGATTTTGAAAAAGATTCTGATGATAATAAAAAGGTATTTATTTTAATATATCACTATAACATGTTCAATTCCTACTCGTAATTCTCTACAGAAAGTTGGTTTTCTTGGTTTTCTTACTATCCTGATACATTGTACTGTACCGTTTTTAAATAAAACGAGCGATTCTTAATTTATACAAATATATATTTATAAGTATACAGCACGAAAATATCTTATCAACAAAACTTAGCTAATATCGGAGTTACTTATATATAAAAGTTATTATGTACAATATTCTGTATTATGTATAATATTCTGGAGTAGCCCACCTCTACTTCGTTTGTTTGACCGGTCGATTTCTCCCGCGCTCGATACGTGTCTGTAAGGTTCTCGTCGTCTCGAGGTGTAACCGTTATATGGGCTACGTCGAATACATATTCTTAACACTGCTCCCTTCTTATATCTGAGCATCCCAATCAGCAACTCTATATGTAGGCTTAGGATGGCAGAATCTGCAGGACTCTCCAGCTCTGCATGAACCCCTCAGAAAGAAGTAACAGTCTATTGTCTTTAAAGGACACGATCTCTTCGGATTAATGAAACACAGTACATCGTACGCCGGTTTCTCGGAAGGTCACTTCAAGCATGCTTCTGACAATCTTCCAATCCAAAATTTCTAGTGCATGGCCTATCTTATGTAAGGCTAAATTCTTGATAATTGCACACGGTTTTCTTCAAATTAGTTAGAGCACGCCATATATACTCGTAGCTTGCCCTGTCTGTATACGACTTCCTGGTCACCATATACAGTAAAGATTGAGGACCATCTTCCAATCTCAGTACTCTTGCAACTTTAGGCTGCTGATTTTTTAACTCGTCCAAACGACCGAACTTCTTATAAAATACGTATGAGATTCCTTTAGTCGTCTCAAGATCTTGGGCAACAGAGTAGGCTAGAGATACATTAAGCGGAACACTAAAAAGATTCTGCTGAACTTCTGTGGTCACGCCGAATCTAGCACTCTTTCTCTCTGCGTAATTTGACATAAATTCATTAAAGCTTGGTTGCCAGTCATCTTTGATCCCATGTTGAAGGGTTCGTGCTTCTTCTATTTCATTTGGTTTACCTTTTGGCAACTTCTTAATTCGGTATATTACGTCATCTATTCTATTTTTAATTTCATACGGACCCTCCCATTTTCTTTGCAGTTTAGGGGACAAACCTCGACAACGTTGTAGATTCTAAAGCCAAACAAGATCACCTACTTCATAACTTTCATTCTTACATCGAGAATCATATTGGTCCTTCATTCTGTCACTGGCTAACAGTATGTGTTGTCGGGCAAGTTCATGAATGTTGTTCATTCTTAACTTCAGGCGTTGATATAATCTTCGCTTGCAACATGTTCTTCGGAAGGTCTGCAGCCAAACTATCTATAGGTCGCAGGGCAAACGAACTTCACGACCTTACATTAGGCAGGTTGGAGTCTGGCTTGTAGTTTTATTCACGGCCGAGCGGTAGGACATTAGGAATAAATGAATGTGCTGGTCACAATCTCTTTGATCTTCTGACAACTTTAAACAGGTGTATACCCATCGTTCGGTTCATCCTCTCGACCATTCCATCTGATTGACGATGCAGGGGTGTCATTCTGGTCTTTTTGACACCAATTAATTTACAAACGTTTTGGAAAAGGGTTGACTCGAAGTTTCGTCCTTGGTCGGAGTGGATCTCCAGGGAAACACCAATTCGGCTAAAGAATTCTTTAACAAGTACATCTGCAACGGTAGCAGCTTCTTAATTTGGTATCGCATAGGCCTCAATATATTTCGTAAAATAATCCATGGCTACCAGAATATATATATTTCGTAAACCTGCAATGTCGATTGCTACTCTTTTCATAGGACAACCAACATTGTACTGTTTCATGGATGCCATCTTTTTAACAACTGGAACATTACTGGTTGCACACAATTCACATTTCCGGCACCATCTTCTTACATCATCTTTACAGTTTACCCAATAGAACCGTTCTCGAACCTTTTGTCGTAATACCAAAGTGTCCACCAGATGCACCATCATGAACTGATGCAATAGTTTACACTTTACTTTTAGGTACAATCAACTGAAGCTTGGATTCTGTACTATCATCATTCTCAAAAGTTCTATACAGAAGATCATCTTTTAGCGCTAGGCAATTCCATTGGCTCCAGTAACACTTAACTTCTGGACTACATGCACTAATGTCTTGCCAAGAAGGTATTTCACTTCGACGCATCCAATCCAATACTCTTGTTATACATGGATCATCTGCTTGAGCGTCTTGTAGCTGTTGAGGCTGCCATTGATCATTAATGACGGTGGTTCGTCTCACGGCGCAAAGTCGTTCTTCTAACTTAAGAAAGTGATTACAATTTGCACTGCATGGTCGTCTCGAAAGAGCATCAGCATTTAAGGAAACTCTTCCAGCCCTGTGTTCGATCTCGTTAACATATTCTTGTAAATCGTTTTAACCATCTTGACATCTGGTCCTCTGGATTACTGAACTGTAAAAGCCATTTCTGCCATACAAGTATTTATGGAAATGCTCGCAAGCCTTCACTACGCCTAGCAAGTCTCTCCCGGTAACGCAATAGTTTCTTTCTGATTTCGACAAGACTTTGCTTAAAGTAAGCGATGACTTTCTCCTGTACATCTTGGATTTGGGAGAGAACAGCTCCTATTGCACTGTTGCTGGCATCGGTGTCTAACACAAATTTTCCTGCCTGTCTAGGGTAGCTTAAAATCGGTGCACTGGCATCTCTTGGCACTGGCCAATCCGTAATTGCTGCAAGTTTTTTAGGATCAGCTGTTACACCATTACTTGCTACAATATGTCCCAAATACTTCACTTCTTGTCGAAACAAGTGACACTGACTTCTGTCAGATTATTGGCATGTTTATCGAAGGATCTTCCAACCAAAATTACATCATTCAAATAAACCAGGCATGTTTTCCATGATAGACCTCTTAAAACTGCCTCCATTAATCTTTCAAATGTGGCAGGGGGATTACATAAACCAAAGGGCATAACCGTCAACTTCCTGATCTTATCGAGAATTAGGTTTTTTCCCGATCAGCTGGCAACATGTCCACTTGCCAATATCCACTTTTCATATCGAGTGTTGAGAACCAACGAAAACCAGAAAGAGTATCCAAACTATAGTCTATTCTGGGCAAAGGATAACTATCTTTTGTAAAAAAATTAATGGGAAAACCCCGTATCTTTTTTAGTTACCGCATTGAGCTGTCGGTAGTTAATACAAAAACGCGTTTAACTAGCATTACTGGTGATGTCCATGGACTGTTTGATGGTTCAAGGACCCCTTATTTGTTCATATCTTTGATGATGTCTTCGGCTTGATCTCTTTTCGCAAATGGAAGTCGTCTAGGTTATTGTCTGATTGGCTGAGCATCTCCGGTATTAATTGTATGCTTTACTATGCTTGTTTTGTCCTTATCCTTCTTATCAATGGCAAAAACATCTTGAAATTCTATCAGCATAGACTTCACTTTTTTAGTTCGTTCATCATGAAGATCTTGGCACTTTTTAATCACCATCTTAACGAGCTCCAATATCCTTTAATAATGTTGCTACTGTTTTGTCTATGTACGCGATATGCAATGATTCAATAGAAGTGGATTGCAAAATAAAAATAAAAAATATATTTAATTGTTTCCCTTCAATGCACAGCTGTATTCGACGGACACTTTATACGGCATGAATTTCTTTGGTTTAATAGAGAGTTCACTGTACAGTATTTAATTATATTTTTATTGAAACCTAAATTTTTTAACGTTTAATCTAATTTTAGGTGTGCTTGGGGATAAAAATGAATGCGAAGAGATAAATTTGGCGACTTACGCAAGCGTTGTCGACCACCTGCCTTGGATTCTACAGAATACAAAAGATTCTTGTTTTTGCAGCAGACTAAATTTACAATTACCTAGCTTGCCTAAAGGACCCTTGAAATTATTCGAGTTATAAGTGGTATACAAATATCTGGCTGTGTTTAATACGTATAATAACTAGTTACCTAGTGAGGTTTTTGTGTTATTTATGAAATAAAATATTTGATGAGATCATAAATTTTAGTTAATTGTTAAATATCCTTTGAACTTTTGGTTATTATTCTTTGTACAGTGCGCTTGAAATAATTAAAAGTAATTTATTTATTTTATTTAGCGTATGAAATTTCGAGACATCTACAATTACAATGAACATTAAAATAAACGTTAAAATTGACGCGATATAAAAATACTTAAATAAATCCCAGTTTATAGGCAAACGTCGAGGTTGTTTATAAAATTAATCGACTCGATCGTCGAAAACACGAAGTCTGGTGAACTGCCTTCGTAGGCTCACTGGTGGCACTCCTCCGTTATGTGCTTGATAGATTGGACCATGCTGTAGCTGCATGATGGTGACGGTGGCTTGCCCCATTTGTGAAACATATCTGCACATCGACCATGTTGAGTTCTGTTGCGGTTAAGTGTGCACCAGGTCTTACATGGTAGGTCAAATCCAGGAGGTGTCTCTGTGGTGCAAGGTATGGCTATATTTGGTTGAGATGCCGACCATTCATGGATCGATTTGGGGATCATATTGAACCCTGTGGCTGCGGCTGATTCTGTGGTTTGTATTGGAAATTTTCTGGAGCGCAATCGATTTTGTGTTGCTAAGGATCTTGGTATATTCTTTGGTAAGTAGATTGAGTCGACGAAGATGTGGTTGTAGCCAATGTGTTGGTGTAGATTTGATTACTCCAGCGATCCCAGACAGCACAAGACATCCCTGGGACGTCTATTTTGTGCATTTTAAGGTCCAAACGTCCCGGGACTTCTTTTGGATGTCCAAGGGATATTTCTAGTCAGACATACCAGGGACGTCCCATAAAGTCGTCCGAGGGACGTCCCATTAGGGATGTATTTGGGATGTTTTCTAGGTTAACTGTGTCATTTTTTTACTTAAGCATATTTTTTACAAGATATAATATCTTCCTACTAAACTTTATTTTAAAAAGTTATATTTAGTTGTAAATACCATTAATTAATACGAAAACAGGCAGGGTCTCTTTTAGAGAAAAATCCTCATCCTATAGCAGAGCTGTATCTCTAACATTTTGTTCTGTAGTGGAACTGAAATTAGAAGATGGAAGAAGAATGTGGTTATGTTTTAACGACGCTTCTATTTATTTCCTTGTATTTAAGTTTTTTTTAAAGCATTTTTATTTTTAGCTAGAATTTTCGGAATCTTTTATTTCTCGAATTATAATCATTGTGGTTGTAATTAGAATTAGTTTATTGCTTTCGATAGTAGTTTATAGTTTGGTAATTTATTATTATAGACATTAAGTAGGTATATAGGAATTTTATAGGTAATTTTTGTGGTTGTGGTGTGAGTTGCTTCATTTGTAAAGTAAGTATGAGTAATGTACTTAAAAATAAATAAAAATCCCATTTATTTTTGCTTTTCATTTTATTAGTTTTTTGTAGGTTCCCTTTATTAGGTCCTGTATACATCCCCATTAAGGTCCTGTATTAGTCCATGTGGACGTACAATGGATGACCCCAATACATCCTTCTTAGGTCCTATATAAGTCCGTATTAAGTTCTGTATATGTACTATGTACGTCCCCATGAACATCCGTGGGACGTCCAGGGGACGTACTTTTTGGTAACGTTTAGGTCTTATTGGACGTCCAAATTATGTAAACGGATGTCCGTGGGATGTCCGGACATTTAATGAGGTACATCCTTCGGACGTCCATGGGACGTACTTGTGCTGTCTGGGATCATTCTCATGGTGTTATTTAGCTGGAAATCTATCCTTTCACCGTGAGCATTGTTGATCCATATTGGCGCGCAGTATTCAGCTACGGAATAAACAAGATCTAGGCCTGAAGATGAGATTGTGGATGCCGATGTCCTCATGTTGTATCGCAGAGCTTGTGAATTATGTTATTTCTGGTTTTTAGCTTCTTGGCTACAGTACTTAAATGTTCTCTCAAGCTTAACGTTCTGTCAGTAATAATATTTCATTGTGTTTAATACATTTATTTAAACATACTTATTAACAAAGTCTCTAGGAATCAACAATGTCCAAAAACCTATATCTAACAATCGTGCTGACAAGTCGTGACAACTGACAACAAGTCTCCCTACATTGTGCCTAGAGCCCCGTGACCGTAATCATAACCTACTGATATGACATCTTTCCCCTTACATTTGATAATCCTTAAAACGCACTGGAGCCCTTTTGAGTCTAGCGCTAGTTCTATTTTCAGCATTCATTTGGGAGGTTGAAGGTTCCTCTACTCCACAACTCTGATTCCCAGATGAGGAGTTTAATGATCTATCATTATGTGCAAAATCAGTATTCTTCTTAATTTCCGCTTTAACTAGGGAAGGCCTTAAGTGATAACTGTTTCGCCTGATGACTTCCCCATTTTCTTTCTGCACTAAATAAGATCTGGGTGCCTCATCCACTTTTTCCAGAACTTTTCCTGGTCTCCATTCTCTACCCTCTCTGACACCTACATTCTCTCCTGGCACTATTTCTCTTCTTACCTTGGTGTTTCTATCATAATAATTTTTATATTCGTTTCTTTTCGCCTCTAGTTTCTCCCACTCATCCTTTAGATTTATGTCTTTGTGCTTTTTATTTGATGGTAGCTTCGATCTAAGAACCCTGTTAGTTACTAATTGGGCCGGTGTTTTATCTGTTCCATTTATTGGAGTATTGCGATACTCCAGGAGTGCCATATCTAAGTCGTCACACTTTCTAAGCATGTTTTTTGCAATTTGAACGGCTCGTTCTGCCTGCCCATTAGACCGTGGATAGCGGGGACTGGATGTTACAAACCGAAAATCCCAGTCTTTAGCAAATTGCTGACAATGCCACGAATTATAAGGCATGTTATCTGATATGACTTCGTAAGGTATTCCGTGTGTTGAAAAAATTTTCTTTAACTCCTTGATGACCACCTGAGAAGTTTTTGAATTAATTTTCACTATCTCGAGCCATTTAGAAAAATAATCGATCAGAACTAGATATGACTGTCCACCATAATCTAATATATCACTTGCTACCTTTTCAAAAGGTGCTTGAGGCAACTCTCTAAGTAATAGTGGCTCTTTAGCATTGTGACTTTTAAATATCTCACACTTGCTACAATTTCTTACCCAGTCTTCTATACTTTTGTTCATTTGTGGCCAATGTAATATCTGTCTTGCTCTCTGTTGGGTTTTCTGAATGCCAAAATGACTAGAATGCAATAATCTTAGCATGCTCTCTCTCAATATTTTTGGGACTACAACTCTGTCTTTGTAAAATATTAGTCCGTCAAGTAAATATAGTTCATTTCTTATATAATAATAATACCTAATTGAATCGCTTACTCTTGACAGGGTTTTGGGCCACCCTTGTATACAATATTTCTTTACTAGTTTCAGATCCTCATCAGCATCCACTTCAGTCCTAAATTGCTCTCTCTTCTCATCAGTCATGTCAATAGTATGAACTATTTCTGCAATAAATTTATCATCATCCACTTTATCTTTTATAAAATTCCTCGATAATAAATCTGCCACATGCATGAACTTGCCTGGCTTAAATTTTACCTCTATGTCATATTTAGATAATCTTACCCTAATCCTTTGTAATCTTGGTGACATTATGTCCGCAATGCCTTTATGCATTAATGCCTCCAAAGGCTTATGGTCAGAATCAATTTGCACCTTTCTTCCGTAGATAAAATTGTGAAATTTATTACATGCATATAGGATTGCCAAGAACTCCTTTTCAATTTGACTCATATTTGACTCTGCTGTCGTTAGCGCCCTAGAGGCAAATGCTACTGGTCTGTTATTCTGTAAGAGACAGCACCCCAAGCCATTACTACTACTGTCAGTCTGTATCACAGTTGGTAACTTCTCATTGAAATTGGCAAGCACACTACTTGACATAATTACTTCTTTTATTTTATTTAGTGCATCAGAATGTCGATATGTCCATACCCATGCATTACTTTTTTTTAAGAGTTCTCTTAAGGGCGTAGAAATCTCTGACAAGTTTGGAATGAATGCCCTTAAATAATTTACCATTCCCAAAATTTGTTGTAATTCCTTTTTATTTTCCGGATCCTTCAATCTTCTTATCGCTTCTACTTTCTTGTTGTCAGCTCTCATCCCATCTTTATCAATGACTCTTTATCAATCCTACTGACTGCGCCAAGTAATAATATTTCATTGTGTTTAATACATTTATTTAAACATACTTATTAACAAAGTCTCTAGGAATCAACAATGTCCAAAAACCTATATCTAACAATCGTGCTGACAAGTCGTGACAACTGACAACGAGTCTCCCTACATTGTGCCTAGAGCCCCGTGACCGTAATCATAACCTACTGATATGACACTGTCCAAGGTTACTAGATATTTTGGATGTTTATTGTGGTTGAGTCGTGTGTTATCAAAGTGAACGTTAAGGGTTCTTGACGCCAGATTTTTGTTTGGGTGGAAGCAGGTTACTTCGATCTTAGGGGTATTAGGGCGAAGTCTCCATTTTTGAAAGTAATTTTCCGTAACTTCTAGGTCTTCCGTAAGAATCTCTTCAGCTTCTTTTAGTGACTTTGTTTTTAGTTAATAAAGCCCAGTCATCAGCATAGCCAAACTTTGATGATATTATCGGCATGTCTGCTATGTAAAGGCTAAAAAGCAGTGGTGCGAGTACCGAGCCTTGTGGCAGACCATTTTTGAGTTTTCTGTGGGTGCTTACTACGGATCCTACAGTTAGTTGAAATACTCTGTTGGTGAGTATATTTTCTATTAATCTAGCGGTAAATTTGCAAGAGATGGTGTATAAGAGTTTATAAATCATTTCTTCTCGCCAGGCGGTGACGAAAGGTGCTAGCTCTTACATATCGCTACCCCAGTTCAAAACAGAAACAACTCAAAATTTTGTTGAAATGAGTTATTTCCGTA